GGCCTTTTGCTTGTATGAATCACCCCAGATAGTGAAACTCAGCTCTCTTTTACTTCACATAGTCCATTTATACAAAGCATATATGAATAAGCAGAATTTATTAAATCACTGGCTATGGGTCCTATTGTAGGCAAAGTAAACTTACAAGTACACAATACACAATATTTGCTTCTCATTTAGACTTCTTTGAATTTTACAGGTTAAGAATCATTGGCCAGATTTCAAAACTTACTACAAACTATAGTAATCAAGAGTGTGGTACTGGCATAGGGATAGATATATAGCTGCATGAAATAGAATTGAGAGTCACAAATAAACCATTCATCTATGGTCAATTGATTTTTGATGAGGGTGTCATGACCATTTAGTGGAGAAATACTATTTTCAACAAATGGTGCTGGGACAACTGGATAGCCACGTGCAAAAGAATGAAATTGGACCCATACTCCACACCATACATAAAAATCAACTGAAAATGGATCAAAGACCTAAATATAAGAAGTGAAACTATGAAACTCTTAGAAGGAAACATAGGTGTAAATTTCCTGACCTTGGATTAAGCAATATTTCTTAAATATGATACCAAAAACACAATCAACAAAAGAAAAAGTAGGAGAATTGGACTTCGTCAAAATTAAAAATCTTCGTGCATCAAAGGACACTATCTAGAAAGTGAGAAGACAACTCACAGAATGGGAGAAAATATTTGCAAATCATAGGACCTGAAAAGGGTCTAGTATCCAGAATATAGAAAGAACTCTTACAACTGAACAACAAAAAGATAAACAATCCAATATATATTTCTCCTGAGAAGATAACAAATGGCCAATAAGCACATGAAAAGATCATTAGTTATTAAAGAAATACAAATCAAAACCACAATGAGATACGACATCACACCCACTAGGATGGCTATAAATAAAAAAAAAAAAAGAAAGAAAAACAAGTGTTGGCAAGGGTGTGGAGAAATTAGAACCTTCATACTTTGTTGATGAGACTGTAAAAAGGAGTAAAATACTAATGCATACTACAGCATGGATAAACCTTGAAAACATTATTCCAAGTAAAAGAAGCCAGTCACAAAAGACCACATATTATATGCTCACATTTATATGAAATGTCCAGAATAGGCAAATCCATAGAGACAGAAAGTAGATTAGTGATTTCCAGGGG